GAATTTTTAATTACTTTGTGGGTTTGTATGTATTTTTTTTTATTATTACAGAGTGACACCTGTCTGGCTATGGCTGCAGGCAGAAAAATGGCCTCATACACAGTGGCATAAAAGATAATTTGCTGAGGACATCGTTATTCTTTGTTATTTTTAAGGATTTTATTAAACTGACATCAGCTCTCTAGTCTAACAACAATCAGTCAAGTTATGTAAAGACTTGTCAGCTTAAAAAGGTTATGGGCTGATTTCATGCTGGGCAAACTCCATTGCATTCTTTAAGTATTCACCGAGTGTTAATCTGACTCTCCCTGTCTGTTTTTAACTAGTTGTCATTCACCCACATGTCTCCACTCAGCCTAGCTAGTGACAGGGTTTGCTCATGAGAAGTTAACAGAAGACTAAACTTGCTTAATCCAGCTAGCAAAATTTCTGGTATAAATACTGTTGGGACTGAGCAAGAAATATGTTCAGCTTTGCCCTGAATTTGTTTCTCCTCTATACATTGGCAATTGCTTCCATAGCCGTATTTTTTCTTATCAGTACAGCACCCCCCACCACCACCACTGTATTGAATTCCTGAGGTATCGTATGAGGTATCGTATGAGTAAGAATTGTAGACATACTGTATTTTCCCACTTGCTTGTTGAGGCACAGAGCAGCGTCTGCATGAGAATGAGAAGAAACTTCCACTAAGGAGAGCTCCAGGATGCAGATGTCCTCGCTGATGACAGTAAGGTGCAGCCTATTGCCTGTCCCCAGGAGTGTGCATGGTTAGGACATTCCTGCGCCTGCCCAGGAGAGCGCAGCAGGGAGCACAAGGCAGGTGATAACTCTGGAGAAGAGATGAGATCTGTGTTTGTTCCTGTACGTGGTGGAAGAGCTGTTCTTGCTGTGAAGTTTCTCTAGGCAACCTCATGGTTAAGGGTGCAGAAACAATATGCACTTGCCTTGCTTGCATAATTCTTGGGAGATTAAATTCTTGCCTCAATAGAAACAGCTCCCCTCTACTCTTCCTATTCAGAGTAACGGGGAATCCAAAGAGTTTATAGATTCAGGCGTGTTCCTTAATTCTTGCCATATCTGTAGAGGCCTGATGGCCGTTAGCCATCTTCTCTGAGTGATGATGCCTGCACAGACCAGTCTTCATTTCTTTTATGATCTATTGTGTTGATGGGTTCAGATCCTTTTTGTGTACATGCACACTTTATCAAAAGGTTCATAGCCAGTACATTCCTGTCTGTTGCTTACCGGAGGCAGGGAGGGAGTTCTACCTCCTTTTAAGAGCTAGAAAATGGGATCTACATTTAACCTGCGTGCCTTTGAATATGCATTAAGGTTTATATCTAACAAAAGGGTCATAGCTCTCTGTGTCTCACTGGGAATAATGCAGATTTCTGTTGCAGAGATTTTGTGAATAGATGAGGACAATTTGTGTTAAATATCAGTGAGAGCTATCTGCAAAGCAGATAGGCTGAACTTCTGGCTACGTTATTCTGAGTTCCTCTTCTGGCATCTGATAATTTTTTGTGGGAGAGAAACTCAGGAAAGACAATTAGACAGTAAAAAAATCTGCTGCTTTGCCAAAAGAGAGACTCTCCTGCAGTCTCGGGTAAAAGACCAGCTTGAGAGAAGCTAGAACTGCACATATCACGCATATGTTTAGTCTCTTAAAAATGCTACTCCTGTGAAAGCCGTGCGGCACCTTCTGTTTATCATCCCTCACCCTTGGCAGTGATACTGGGGCAGTGTCTGGAGTGAGCTGGGCATACAGTTTCTTCTGCTAGGAAGAGGTTTCAGTACGTTATCTCACCTTCTGGCACTGCCCTGGATATTTAACATTCATGGCAGTTTCTGGGGAATAACGTATCCTGTGTTATGATATTTCAGTTCAGTGGGATTGCATGCAGTGGAGACTCGAGGGAGGTTTGGCCCGTGAAGCAGCTTTCAGCAGCATCCTACTCTGGGCTACCGTCAGGAGGGCTGTTAGAGCTAATTTAGTCTTTCTGGTTTCGCTTGTGGGATCTTAGTGCTGAGAGCACATGTCCCCCACTGTGGCAGGAACTGGCTCTTTGCAGCAGAGGCGAGGTGTGCCACTTGGTGCCCAGAGGTGCTGGCCTGGCCAGGTTGCACAAAAGTCGGACACCTGGGAGCCTCCAGCTCTGCCGAGGCTTTCAGTGCCAGTCTTGGGCATGTTTCTGCACCCAAATCATATGGAAAGCTTTGTTCGTTGTTTTAGTATTATTTAAAAATGTGCATACTATCTATGTGATTTTTAAAAAGACTGTTTACACAAAATATTTTATATCTTAAGATGTGTGTACTGTAAAAAGAAAAAAAAAGGAAAGGATGAAAAATGTTTTTCTACAACTGTCAGCAGTGACTGCATGTCTGTATCATCGACCACTGACCGTTGTTCCTCAGGGGTCTCCCCGCCATTCCTGTGATCCTGTCAAAAGCATAGGGAAGCAAGTGAATCCCTGTACAGTCTTGGGAAGAAGGTTTTGTGCCTTAAGAATGGGACCTGCTTCCCTTCTATTTATTGTGTTAATTTATACAGTGATTACCATGGAAATGTCTCTTGTATTTTTTTGTACATAGTTTACTGTTGATTGTTGTAAATAAGTTTTTCTTGTATATAAAGTAAACGTGTTTCTGAGCTTCCAGTAAAGATTCTCTGTTACTGATTTCATTGTGTGAGAGGGCTGCAGTGCCCGTCTGGTGGGAACCAGCTAATAAAAATCTGTGCTGTGATAAAATGGCTTTATCCTGAGTTGCATCAGAAGTTCAGCTGTTCCTTAGAGAGGAGTGAAATGGTAAACGTGATTGTTGTAGATTAGTTTTGTAGCATTTCTTTGCATTGGTTTAATTGGCACGGAATAGAAGACATCATGTAGTTTGTTTTTTATTAGCTATATCTCTGCAGTGAACAAAAGAAGAGATGTTTTAAAAATGGTGGTTCTACTGCTGCTCATCCTGATGATAGCTTTACTGTCTGCAAACCCACAGCTAGATGGGAAGACACTCTCAGAAACTCAGCAGGGTATTTAGTTTCCTCCATGTGCTTGTAGACCTCTCATCGGGTGGTGTGGCATGACCGTGTCTTCCTGGTCATGGTGGTGCAGTGCCCTAATGAGAAAGGAACAGTTGTTTCTCTACTCCGCTTGGGCCTCTGTGCATTCAATTTATTGCAGGCAATATATATGGTAACTGGAATAAGTGGAAGTGCATTTAGAAAAATGTGGGAAAAATTAATTTTCTTGTGAAAGGTAGAAATTGACTGCCATAAAATAACACCTGTAAACTTGAAACTAAAAGATTTGGAGATGTTTGGGTGAGCAGTCCATGGATCAGATTGTGATGAGCTTTCTGTGCCATCTGTACAGATTGATGTGTTCATAAATGATGACAAGAAACCTTCAGCAGATTAATTGAAACTGAGAGGATGGTTGTAGAGTTCCATAGTACTGTGGCAAAGTAAGTGGAAAGTAACTTATATTATAAATGTTGCAAGGTGAAAATGGTGAAATTGATCATTAAAATGTTAGTTACCTAGTCCTAGTAATAAGGGGAAGAGAAAAATTACTGTATTTGCTCACACACACACCCTGGACCTGAGTGTCAGGTTCTGCATTAAGTAGCACTGCAGAAAACATGCAAAGAAAGCAGCAGCAGAGAGACAGAAGATAAGCTTACTCTTCTGATACAGGTAATTCTTTTTGGTCTTCTTTTTATTTATGTGGCAGAACCCAATAGCAAGAAACTCTTTGCCTTACTCAGTGTATCATTACTGGGATATCAGACCACCTGCTCACGGCTGCCATCCTCTTGGTTTGATTGATAAATACTTAATGGATCTTGGGAGGGAGGTGTGCTGTGAAGATCTTGGAAGTAACAATGAGGGTTTTTT